GCCCTGTGCGGGCCAGAGGAGGCTGAGGCCATCAGGGGCCACCTTGCCACCCTCCTGGCCCACCTAGGGGCTGCCGAGGCCACCAGTGCCGGCCCCGTGTCCTCCAGCGAGGTTGTCCCCGCGGGCTGGAACCTCTGCACCATCGTTGGAGTGCTGCTGGGCTACCCGGCGTCATATGCCTTCTCCATGGAGGAGGGTGCTGAGAACTGCCTGGCGCTGACGCCGCTGCGGGTGTTCACGGTCCAGGCTTCCTGCCCCAGGATAAGGGACGGTCTCAGGGTCCAGATCTACTCCTTCAGCATCCCAGAGAACCTCTGCGTGGAGCTGAAGGAGGTGCTGGATGCCTGGTGCAATGAGCTGAAGGAGGCCTTCAGTGCACAGAGCGACTTTGTGGGTCTCCGCATTTCGAGCGAGGTGGTGTCTCTTCCAGCGGTTGCCTTGTAAAACACAAGCAAACTCAGAATTTTTGGCCTTTCTCACTTGCATCAGGGACTGAGGCGAGAGATCCGGTTCCCTGTTTGTGAATCCCACTGAGGGTCTCTCAAGAGCCTCCTGAGCGCCAAAGTCTTGAATTGTGACGATCTCAGGCCCCCGACCTCGTAGGCCAGTTGCAAAACCAATACCCGTACTTCCCAGAAGACCAGTGTGTGGGCGTTCGCGCTCACAGCGGCTCTGCAGCCTCGATCCTGACTGCAGAGTGTGTCCTGTAAAGTCAGGGTGTATTTATTTGGTGCAAACAGCTGAGCAGTAATAAAAAAATTGACTACCACAGTATTTTGAATTAGTGAAGTTTATTGTAGGCTCCGTATCATGTTTACTACTTACGCGAGGTGGTGTCACGCACCCCCTCATAGCTGAGCCTGTGCTTGAACGAGGGGCAAGTGCTACTGTAAAACCTGCACAGTGCAGCTCCGAAAGGGGCTTAAAACCCCTGTCTCTGTTGAATGAATGTGGTGCTGGCAGTGAAGGGGAAGCGGGCATGGCTGTGGGGATGTTTGGCTATGAGACAGGCTAGAAGAGTGGTGGGCTGAACTGGGCCTGGGGGGTGGGAGGTGGGAAAATTGCTCGGGACAGTGAGTGCATGGGGGAAATACGAGGGGACTGTGCTGAAAAGCCTCCCTGAGCTGGGTTTCTTTGTCAGGTACTGGTAGAGACGGTCCATGGTCAAATACCTCCCATTTAGGGAGGCAATAAATAAAGGAGAATTTTGTAGTCCTCTCGGCTGCCAGGCATGAGAACCAGGGAGGCTGGATCCCGAGGACATGGATGCCCCATCTCTCCTGCCCTGCGCGAGCTCTGGCAGCGGTGGCTGGAGTGGCTTTGTCCCTCAGCGCCGCGGGGACTGGGCAGCGCAACCTTCAACTGGAGCAGAGTAACCAAAGCAGCCAAGGGAAGGGGTGATCTCCCAGTGTTCACTGGAGCTGCGGGAGATTGTCTAGAGTGAGACCAGCTCAGGAGATGAACCAAACACACCAGTACGAAACAGCAGAAGGTGCACTGCGGTGAGGGCGTGTTACTGTTGGTGAAGCAGAAGTCAGTTCTTGCAGTGAAGTTGGTCCCTGAGAAGGTCCTTCACGGTCTGTAACTTGCAAGGAAGGTGGCTATGGCCATCACGATCACTGCCACCAGGAGAGGGATCCAGTGACCACGCCGTCTCTGCAAGGAGAAGCAAGTGTTACTAGGAAATTGGGGGGGGAGAAGAAACTTCTCATTTCATCCCTAGCAAACATGTCATTCGTCTTTCCACACTGCACAAAAGAATGGGGGAATTTTTCCCAGACTGATCTGCAGCTCCGGTTCAAAGGCACAGGGAGTCGGGGCGAGGAACGGCTCCCACCTGTGCCTGCTTGCTCTGGAAGTGGTTGAGCTCATCCCGGCACTGGCGCAGCCTGGTCAGGCAGGAGCGGTATTCCTCGCTCAGGGCCTCCAGCTCCGAGCGCAGCTCCGTGCACTGCAAGCACAGCAAGGGGCCGTTAGCAGGAGAGATCCCCTCGCTTTCGTACGCACCGAGACTGGCAGGGCTCCCGCAGCGGCTGCAGCGCTTCAGCCACGCACGGGCACTGCGGTGACCGGGGATTTTCACTTCTGCTACCTGCATGTCCGTATGTACCTATGGGGAGTAGAGCAGATCTCAGGGTTACTGGGAATGTGGTGGAAGAGGCAATGTGACCATCCCGTGACCTGCTTGGCTTTGCTGCCATCTTTCACATCACATGGGAGAAGGAAGCAATAGTTATTTTTATGACCATAGAAGTGTGCAGGTCAGGAAGAAGAAGTGGCATGCAAACTCGTGGCAGGGTTTGCCTATCATTCTGAAATTCATTTTGCGTTTCACTGGCTGCGAGAGCAATTGCAGAGCCCTTTAAACCCCCTGAGACATGGAACATGTGGGACAGGTGCCTTGGTTGTGCTGCGCACCCCTAAAACCCAGGGAGCACCTTTTTTGCTGGATGGCCATGCAGCGTGAGGCCCTGCTGCCATCCCGGTGAGCGGTGCGTTAGCAGCAGCTGTGGAAGGAGGCTGCCCATGCCCAGGGGCTGCAAGAGCCGCGGAGGGGGCAGCTGGGCCACCCCAGCTGTTCCCTTTTGCTGTGATTGTGCTTCACAAAACCCTTCCCCAGGTGATGCTGGGTGATGCCTGAGGGTGTTGGTGTGCTCACCGGTACGGGTTAGTAGGACAAGTTCTTCTCCTGTGTGGCTCTAAGCTCTGCTACAGTAAGTTATAAACCCTTTTTTTAAAAAAATCCTTGCTATCTGAGTACTGCTGTAAGAACCGTGGGGCTGTTGGTTGGTGGAGGGCATGGTTTGATGGGAAAGAGGAAGATAGCTTTGGGGTTTTTTGCAGCCCAGTTGTAAAGGCATTGCTTTTGTTAGCAGTTACCCTTCCTGTTATTTGCAAGCCTTTTCTCTTCCTTCTCTCCCTCCTTTGTGCTGAGGGTTTCAGCTCTTAAAGTGTGGCTTTGGCTTTTCCCTGTGGGACACTTGAGACTCTGCTGTCTGTGAGAGCACACATGGGTTTGTATGGAGAGGGCTCTGCTGCTACAGCCCCGAGTGCCAGGCTGCTGGTGCCCTGCCCTTGCACGCAGCTGCTGCATTGGGGGTTTAGGTGAGGCTGGTATCAGGATAAAAGTTCATCAGAGATGCTCCTTACAGGAGATACCAAACTTAGGTTGCTTCCAGGAGCTTTGGTGCGTTGTGCTGTGCTGCTGCACTTCCACCAGCAGCTCGCTCCCCAGCAGGGAACTTGGTCCCAGCCGTGATTCAGTGACTTCCTCACCTCGTTCTCCTTGGCTGTAAGCTGGGATGTCCTTTTCTGCATCTCATCCTTCAGGCTTCCTTCTCCCTCCTCCTCCTCGGGGTGCTCTAGCAGAGCGTTTTGTTTTTCCTTGGCAGGAGTGAGAGGTGGGGTCTGCGTAGTGAAAACCTGGTCTAGAAAACAGTCAGGCTCCTGATGAGAAACAGGTCCAGGCCTTCAGTTTGCTTTAGATCTTGCTTAAAGATAGTATTTGCATGCTATGCACGCGGGAGCGGAGTTAGTTATCGCAGGCTGCCTCTGCTGTAGCTACAAGTTAATCATCTTTAGAGGAGTATTTCGAAGTAGTTGTCAGAAATGGAGGGGAGGGAAAGTTAAAATACCTTTTATTGCTTTTTCCCAAGTACAGTTGCAATTGCTATCATGAACTGGAATGTATTTTGTTTGGGGAAAAAATGGCATAGCCACTGAAGTAGAATTTGCAATGAAATCCATTTATTTTTTTAAAGTGTTTACCATCATAAATACGCTTACGTTTTAATGTTAACTAGCAGAATATATAACTCGCTTTGTGTAACTTTAAAGTAATCCTTTATTCTAAACCAGTGTAGACTTCTCCTAGAGTCAGGTCTAACGTTCCTGTGTCCAGTGAGAGGACTGCTAGGTGGGAGTTACAAAGTTTGCTGACCTTTCCTTTGCATCGTCGCCTCCTGGGTCTTCTCTTCGTTGGCCTGGTTCTGTATCAAGTCTGTGGAGGTGAAAAGCCACTGTTACGTCCACAGCGCTAACGCAGGTCTCTTACTTTGTATGTCTTTGTGTTACTTACTGTGCAAATGGCTGATTGTAGCCTCCAGCGTTACCTTCTGATTTTGTTCTTTTTGCAATTTATCTGAAATAATGGCAGAGGAAAATCAAGGTTGATGTAAATCTCTGTGTATCTTTATGCAAGGATGGCAACTTTCCCTTTCTCCACATGTGCAAAGCGGAGTGGATATTGCAGCCTACACTGAATGCTGTTCTCTGAAGGGATGTAATTTTTAGCTTTTGGTTTCGGCAGCTTTTTCTAGTGTGCCTTACACTCTATTAATTTATTGTTTGTTTTAAAGCTGTTTGTGTGAGACCTGTTATGAAAATAGACCTGCCACCCATTTACTCTTCCTTAATTGTGTTTTAAAATAGCTACGTGAAATGTGTGTGAGTTCCCTTGCCTCTATCTGAATTGGTACTTTAAGATGCTATTAGCACATATTTATACGCTGGTAATATCCACCACCACGCAGCAGCACCTCAGACAGTAACGGGTGCTGCCTCGCTGCCAAGGGGGCTTGCGTTGCTGTGTTTGGGTCTGACAAAGATGCAAAAGGCCCCATCAAAGCTGAGGAGTCATCTTTGATTTTGTTTTTTTTCCAAGTCTCCCATTCTGTCCTTTCTTCTACAAAAGTCACTTGATTTCTCTGAAGTCCTTTAATCTAGTTGGAAATTACTTTAGGAGCCCTTTGGAAACAAGAAGCTTTCTCAACAAGCTGAGGTGTGCAGCATGTTTGGAGAGCGTGAGCCTTTTGTGTGTGTGTACTTGGCTTTAAGGACCATGAGTATTTTCCTGGTATCCTCCGTTCAGTTGGAGGACAGACTTCCCCACCGTTCCCCTGCACGTGATACCTTCGATGGCGCTGATGTGCCGAGCCTTCAGGTCGTTGTCCTCCCGCAAGGCCCCGGCTCGCTGGCGGAGCGTAGCGTGCTCGCTCCGCAGGCTGTGCAGGGCGTCCTGGAGCTGCTCCTTCTGCGTGGCCACTTGCTGGGGGCGAGAAGAGCCCTGGCATCAGCCCAGCGCCGGCACTGCGCCGCGAGCACGCGGTGTCGCCCGCTTTCCGGCAACCAAAGGCAGCCCTGAGCTGAGGACCAGGTTGCACGTGCGGCCACTGTGCTTCATCAGAGGGGCTTTTTCTTTATATAGTGATCTCAACCTGGGGGCTTCCCTGCTTGCAGACTCCTGTGGGTGCTGTTCCCGCGGGGAACTAACGTACCTGCAGTTCGCTTTGCAAAACGTGGAAGCTGTTTTCGAGCTCAGTGTGTGCCGTGGTCATCTTGGTCAATTCGGCTTTGAGCGTGGTGTAGTGCTCTTTCCAGAAGGCAAGGTCCTCTCTCGTTGCAGCCAGGCTTCTCTAGGGAAGAGGGCAAGGACCCACGGGTGG